GAGTTGGAATCCAAGTTTGCTGGCATATTGGTGCAGCATTTTAACAGCATCATTTTTAAGGCTTGAAATAATTCAGCTGGAATTGCATCCCCTCCACTAGCTTTATTCATAGTAGTCCTTTCCAAGGTCCACTTGACTTCACACTATAGGATGTCTGGCTCTAAGTTTGTGATGACACCATCGTGGTTATCCAGATCATTAAGACATTTTCATACAATTAAGCTATATCTGTAGAAAAATTTTCAAAATAGGTATATTGCTATTTTTCACATTATTTTCTCAGGTGACTCAGTGCTAAAGAATCTGCCAGTCAATGTAGGAGACACAAGAGACACAGGTTCCATCCAAGGTTTGGGAAGATTGACTGGAGGAAGAAATGGCAACCCAATTTCAGTATTCTTGCTGGGAAAATTCCATGGACAGAGGAACATGGCAGATTGTGGTCCAAGGGGGTTGCAAAGAGTTGGACATGATTGAGCAACTGAGCATGACACTTTATTTTCTACATTAGTAGTCATAAATACTTAATGGCAAATATTTAGAAAGTACCACCTTTTCAAATCCTTGTGCCATGAAGTTTAGAAAATACAAAATAAACATTGCTCTAATTTCTGAGGCCTTAACTTTAGTACAGAGATTCTTACATAAACAAATTAATTTAACTCAGAAAAAAATTGCCTTGTTTTGAGAATGTGAGGGAGACATAAAGTTAATGAAATACCCTTTGGTATGTGGTTGGGTAATAGGAGTAAGATAACATTTGGTGTTGATGGCTGCCAATATTGTAGTGTTGACAATAACATAGCATAATTATCCATGACAGATAAAGAGCAGAAATAACCCAACATTTATCCAACTGAATAATGGGTCAATATAGTGTGCAATATCCATAAAATAAAATATTATAGTGCCCTTCAATGAAACAGAATTCTGACTCTGACACAGGAACAACATGGATGAGCCTTGATAATATTTCACTGAAGAAAAAATGTCTGAGAGAAGAAAAAATACAATACATATTGCATGATTCTGTTTATATGCAAGACTAAGAATAAGAAACTACACAGAGTCAGAATATATATTAGTGGTTGCCAGGGCTGGGGTCAGCAGGGGCAGGGAATGAGACCTAATAGGTATAGGGTTCTTACTGAACTGATGAAAATGTTCTGTAGATAGATAGTGGTGAAGACTGAAAAGCCTTGAAAACAAGATAAAACTGAAACAAACAAACAAAAACCTATATACTTTAAAAGGGTGAATTTTATGGCATATGTAATGTATGTATTATATTTCAATATAAAAGAAAATACAGTTAGAGTGTAGTTATACTCCTAAATGAGGTATGAAGGAGAATGTTTGAAAAACACAATGAATAATGCAAAGAAGTTAGAAGTGATGGGGGGAGGGATCTTTTTTGAGTTTCTTTAGGTTTCCTGTTTTACTAAAGAAGGAGGAAATAGTTTCAGGGTAACTGTCAAACAGTCCTACAATTTGCAGTTTTCTTCCTAACACAGAGCAATTTGGTAACAACAGTGAAGCTCAAAAAAGCTGGGGCTAAGTTGTTTTGAACTCTCAAGGAAATATAGAGAAACAGAAATGTAATTAATGAAGTGTTTATATAACGTCAAAGCCCAAGGGCAGTAGCACTGGGGTTTAAGTCCCAATGTACCTGTTCTTCCCTGGTGGTTCAGATGGCAAAGCGTCTGCTTGCAGCGCAAGAGACCTAGGTTTGATCCCTGGATGGGGAAGATCCCCGGGAGAAGGGAATGGCAACCCGCTCCAGTATTCGTGCCTGGAGATATCCGTGGACAGAGGAGCCAGGGAAGGTCACACGGGGTCACAAAGAGCTGGCCACGGCGGAGTGACTAACACTCACTGGTTGTTGTTCAGCTCCTCAAGCCCTGCTCATCTCAGGTAGGTTTCTAGATCCTAACTTAGAGAATATAGGGGAAAATACTTAAGTTTCTGAGAAAAGCAGAGTTTTTGTAAATGAAACCTTTTATGCCTGCCTATTCTCTAAAATCTGCATTTAATGGTTAGTAATAATATTTTCTTCTCAGAATTGAATGAGTCTGAACTTGTTAATATCCACACATAATTACTTTTAATTTATTTCATTTTGTCCTTGGTTCATGGGAAAGAAAGCCTTTACTCTTTTTATCATTTGGTAAGTATTATAAAACAATTTAAGGTATATATTGTTTTATTGAAAAAATAGTGTAGGTACCACAGTTAAAAACATGTACAAATTCATCTCCACGTGAACCATACATATGCTCTGGGGGTCGGAAAGAGTCGGATATGACTGAGCAACTGAACTGAACTGAACGGAAGGAAAAAGTCTATTCCTTACATTCTATTCTCAGATACATTAAATATATATATACATATCCACACACATAGATACATACATATAACATAGAGAGGAGTCCATGTATTTTAAAAGTATTTATTGTCACTCTTTTCATTTACACGTTATTAATTTAAAGGGGATTTAAAATCTAAAGCGATGCACATGTACGTAGTACATTCCGTTGCTTTTACTTCCTTTTAACTTTTTTCCCCCACTGGTCAGCAGATTCATCCCTTGACTGCAACTACTACAGAAAGAGATAAAGAGCATTGTGGGAAAGCAGTTACAAATCTCCAGCATAAAGGTAAATAATACTTATCTCATGGATCTCCAAATACTAAACACAACATAAACTAAAATCTGTATAATTTTTTTTTTTAATCAACATTGGTCAGTGTTATACTCATTGTTTCTGGAACTAACTTAAAGACTCTTAAATTGATCATGTGTTTTTGAGAAACATAAATTTTGTAATTATCTTTTCTAATCATTTTTTTGTATTCAAGTGAATATTTTCAAGCATAGAAAATGCTTAGTCTCATGTCTTAAACCTGGCTACTCTACCACTGGTGTCTCTTACAAATTATTGTGCAGAGATAAGGAGAGTGAAATTTACCAGTATCTACCCACTGAGATAAGGAAAACAATGCTCAGAGAAGAGCTTGTAAAAAGTAGCATACCTCGTGAATGATGTCTGAATTTACATCACTATTTCTCAAAGTTCAATTCCAGATAATTTTTATTATTGCTTAGTATACAGCTATCCCTCTTCAAGTGTACGTTCACCTAACATGAATTATTTTCTAAATATAAAACTATAATTATAGAAAAAAATCATGATCTATCTTATGACATTTTGCAGATGTGCAGAAGTGTTACACATAACATGTCATTTTCTTGATCACTTGCTAGAACTTTAGAAAAGAACAAAGAAGAATGAGTAGAGAGAATTGTTCCTCCTTGACTGAATTCATTTTCTTGGGAATTACTGATAACACTGAGGACAAAGTGATCCTATTTACAATGTTTCTCCTTGTTTATCTCATCAACCTTCTGGCAAATCTTGGAATGATAACCCTGATTAGGATGGATCCCCAGCTGCACACACCCATGTACTTTTTCCTCAGCCACCTCTCCTTCTGTGACCTCTGCTATTCCACAGCCATCGGCCCTAAGATGCTGGTGGACCTATTTGCCAAGAACAAATCAATCTCTTTCTGTGGCTGCGCTCTGCAGTTCTTGGTTTTCTGTATCTTTGTCGATTCTGAGTGTCTCCTGCTGGCAGTGATGGCCTATGACCGGTACAAGGCCGTCAGCAGCCCCTTGCTCTATGCGGTCAGCATGTCCAGCAGGCTGTGCTCCCTGCTCATGGCGGGGGTTTACCTGGTGGGAATGGCAGATGCTTTGATACACACGACATTAGCTTTCCGCTTATGCTTCTGTGGGTCAAATGTGATTAACCATTTCTTCTGTGATTTACCTCCACTTTTCCTCCTTTCCTGCTCTGATATACAGGTCAATGAGTTGGTGGTGTTTATTGTTTTTGGTTTCATTGAAATGAGTACAATTTCAGGAGTTCTTGTCTCTTATTGTTATATCATCCTTTCAGTCTTGAAAATCCACTCTGCTGAGGGCAGGTTCAAAGCTTTTTCCACCTGTACCTCCCACCTAACTGCTGTGGCAATTTTCCAGGGAACTCTGCTCTTTATGTATTTCAGGCCGAGTTCTTCATACTCTCTAGATGAAGACAAAATGACCTCATTGTTTTACACTCTTGTGATTCCCATGTTAAACCCTCTGATTTATAGTTTGCGGAACAAAGATGTAAAAGGGGCCCTAGAAAAACTGAAAAATAAACTATATTTTTAAATATTGTTATTATATATCTGTACATATGACTACACACATATAGTAATTGCTTAATGAAAATTATATGGCATGATAAATGAGAAACATATTTTTTTCAGATTCCTAAATTATTTGTATTAAACCCTGCTATTAAGAGATATTGCAGTTCCCCTCACATGTTATGCTTAGTATGTGGCCAGAGTTTCTATATGGCACTTATTATTTTTGAAAAAGCTTTTGATATTTCTAACTGTGCTAATTCTGGAGTAATTTTCCATTCAAACATTATTTCAATTTCACTAAGACATTATGCATGTATTGAGTAACCTTCTACCACTTAGATTCTTTATATATTATAGTACATTTTTAAAAATTCTATATTATTGAATTTAAGTTGGTGCTAGTATTAGACAATAATGAACTAAACTGTCAAGTAAGTTATAATCAGTCTTAAAATAATCATGGATGGGGAACACATGTACACCTGTGGTGGATTCATGTCAATGTATGGCAAAACCACTACAATATTGTAAAGTAATTAGCCTCCAATTAAAATAAATAAATTCATATAAAAATCATCATGGAGAGTCTCTTGCTGTGGTGTTTGGGGGATCGCTTTAGGCCTGAAGCCGTAAGCGTCCCAGTGATTTTAGCAGGATGAGCTCAATCGGCACCGGGTACAGCTATTGGAATCAGATGTAAAGACGGCGTTGTCTTTGGGGTAGAAAAATTAGTCCTCTCTAAACTTTATGAAGAAGGTTCCAACAAACGACTTTTTAATGTTGATTGACATGTTGTAATGGCAGTAGCAGGTTTGTTGACAGATGCTCGTTCTTTAGCAGACATTGCAAGAGAAGAGGCTTCCAACTTTAGATCTAACTTTGGATATAACATTCCACTAAAACATCTTGCAGACAGAGTGGCCGTGTATGTACACGCGTATACACTCTACAGTGCTGTTAGATCTTTTGGCTGCAGTTTCATGTTAGGGTCTTACAGTGTAAATGACAGTGCACAACTCTACATGATTGACCCATCGGGTGTTTCATATGGTTATTGGGGCTGTGCCATTGGCAAAGCCAGGCAGGCTGCAAAGACAGAAATTGAAAAACTTCAGATGAAAGAAATGACCTGCCGTGATGTTGTTAAAGAAGTTTCAAAAATAATTTATATAGTCCACGATGAAGTTAAGGATAAAGCTTTTGAACTAGAGCTCAGCTGGGTTGGTGAAATAACTAATGGAAGACATGAAATAGTTCCTAAAGATATAAGGGAAGAGGCAGAGAAATATGCCAAGGAATCTTTGAAGGAAGAAGATGAATCAGGTGATGATAACATGTAACATTTACTTGTATGTTAAATTTCTAATACAGTCCTATGTAACTATTTAGCCCTTTGGATTATTACATACCAATTTTCATTAAATTTTTGTCTTATAAAAAAAATCATCATGGAATAAAAAACTGAGTACTGTAAATCCAAAAGCAAAGTATCTAAAACTAGTGTAAAGTAAAAGCATCTCTGGATGAAGATATTCAGTCTCATATCTAAGAAAGATCCATGATGGGTGATGAAAAGATAGCAGTCAGAGGATGTGACAATTGGACAGGACTTGCAGTAGAGAATCCCCAGTCTTTCGCAGGAAAGAAGTCATGCTTTCTGCACCATGGGATAATCTCAAGGATGCTAATCTAAGTAAAATATGTCAGTCAGAGAAAAACTAGTACTGTATGATCTCATGTAGATGTGGACTCTAAAATGGTAGAATGAACTCACAGGAACAGAAAGAAGAGTATTGGTTGCTAGGAGTTGGAAGGTGGGAGAAATGGGTGATGCTGTTCAAAGTGTGCAAGCTTTTTGTTATTACATTTGATGAATAAGTTCTGGAGATCTAATATTCATGGTGAGTCTAGTTAACCATACCCTATTATAAACTTGAAGTTAGCTACAAATGTAGGTCTTAAATGTTTTCACTACACACACACTACAATGGTAACTATGTGAGGTGATGAATGTGTTAACCAATTTTAGTGTGGTAATCATTTCACAATGTATACATATATCAAATCATCACTTTGTATATCTAATGAATGTAAATGCTATTTGACAGTTATATCTGAATAAATCAGGGAAAAAAGAAGAAAAGAAGTTGAAAGTTAGGTTACAAAGAGCAATGGGAAGAGCCTTGGTAAAGTACATTATTGTGCTGTCATTATCAGCTATCAACACTGTGTCATACCATCTAAGGTAATTTCCTTTCCTTTTTCCTCATTCTCAGCCCTGGTTAAACATCTTTCTTTGTCTATTTGAGTTCCACAAACAACCATCTACTTAAGACACTATTTTACTTTCTGTGACCTTAGGTATCACACCAGGTATCACACCAGATACCTAGATGGTAGACCATGTTTTTGTAGTATGGAGAATTCCATTGCTATCTGTTTGGAAGGACTTAAGGAGGACATAAAAGTGTAACATCCAAGATATTTTTCCAGTTTTGTATACAACTAATATAAATAATAGTAAACAAATTGTTTTAAGAAAAATAATAGAACTCTGTTGATTTAGAAAAAATCATCACTGTGCACAATTTTTAAAATGAGACATCTTCACTCATATGATTTATATATATAGAAAATTCCCAAAGCAAGTATGTTTTTATCCTTGTCATTGTTCTCTGTTATTCATTTGATAGTGAAAAATGCATAACAATAAATATTTAGAAACCACTACATTTACAAATCCTAGTACCATGTAGTTTAGGAAATACAAAACAACCATTGATTTTATTCCTGTGGCCTTTAACGTAGTAAAAAAGAAATCTTAAATAAATAAAATAAACATAATTCAGAAAAGAGTGCACTATTTAGACAATGTGATGAAGTCACAAAATCAGTGAAATGTCCTTGGATGATATGTAGTTGGAGAATGGGAAAAAGCTAATATTTGGTAATGAGAGCCGTCTTGAAAGGGATTGACAGGATGTTTATATTGTTGCTATTCCTATCAGCTGAAAAGTAGAAACAAGCCAGTGTTCATCCTTCTGAAAAATGGATCACCAAAGTGCATTATATCCATAACATGAAATGCTATCAGCCACATAATGAAACAGAATTCTAACACGTGTAACAACATGGATGAAACTTGAAAATATTTTACCGAAGAAAATAAACCCGACGGGAAACACACACACACACTCACACACACACACACACACACACACACACACACACACACTGCATGATTCTCTTTATAGGCAAGGCCAATAATAGGAAACCACATAGTATCAGAAAGTAGATTAGCAATTGCCAGGCTCAAGAGGGAGGAAAGGAGAGGGAGAGCTAGTAGGTGTAGATTTCTTCTTGGACTGATGAAGATGTTCTGGAACTAGATAGTGTAATGAGTGAGCAAACTCGAAAGTGCACTAAAAATCAGAGAATTGTATACATTAGAAGGATTATTTTATGACATAGGATTGTATTTCAAGATAAAAGAAAATACGATCAAAGTACAATATTCCGACATGAGGTAGTGAAGGAGAATATTTCAAAACCACAATGAACAATCACAAAGAGTTGGATGAACGGGGATCTTTTAGAATTTCACTGAGTTTCCTCTTTGACTTGAGAAGGAGGAGATAGTTTCCGGGTAGCTGACACACACCATGCAAATCATTTGCAGCACCCTTCCTTCCATAGAGCAAGTTGGACACAGTAATGAAGCACAAACACTCAGCTTCTGCTAAGCTGTTTCTGAATTCGCAGGGGAATGTTGTGGTGGTGGTTCTGTTTCAAAGCCTGTCTGACGCTTTGCAAACTCAGGGATGGCAGCGCAAAGGCTCCTCTGTCCTCCACTGTCTCCCAGAGTTAGCGCAAATTACCGTCCATTGAGTCAGTGACGCTCTCTAGCCATGTCTTCCTCTGCCAGGGGAATATACGGAAGCAGAAATGTAATTAATGAAGTGTTTGAATAACACGAAAGCCTAGGGGCCGTAGCACAGGGATTCGAGTCCCAATATACCCGGTGAAATAAAAGACCAAATGCTCGGTACTCGTCAGCTCCCCAAGACCTGCTCTTTCCAGGTACGCTTCCAGATCCTAACTTAAGAAAAATAAGAGAAAATATTTAAATTGGGGGGGGGGGGATAAAAGTTTGTAAATGAAGGACTTTATGCCTACCTACTCACTAAAATCTGCATTTAATAGCAGAAATAATATTTTCTTCACAACATTGGAAGCATCTGTCTGAACTTGTTAACATTCATAATGTAATTTTATTTTTCTATTGGCTCACATAAAAGTCTTTGCTCCTTTTTTCACTGAGTGACTGTACATGAATTTAAGGTGTTTTGTTTTATAGAAACAAAAAAATTAAGTTGTGTTTTGTTTTATAGCATAGATACCATAATAAAAACAAAAGCATTTACAAATCCACCTCCATGTAGACCACATACTATATTTACTTAGGTCTAAAGAAAAAGTCCACTGCTTTCATTTACATTAACATATATACACAGGCATACACATAAATACAACAGAGAGAGCAAGGTCTTTGCATTTTAGAAGCATTAATTGTCCCTCATCTAATTTACATTCAATTAAATTGAGAGTCATTTAAAATCTAAAGTGATGCAAATATATGTGGTACATTCTGTTGTTTTCACTTCCTTTTAGCTCTTTTCATCCACTGGTCAAGAGTCATCCTAGACAGTAACCTCTCCACAAAGAGGTAAATGAACATTATGGGAAAGCAATAGCAAATTTCTAGAAAGCAGGTCAGTAATAAGGTATTTCATGTCTCCCCAAATGCTAAGCAGAAGATAAGCTAAAACCAGTAAAATAATGATTTTTATTATTACTAGTCAGTGATGTACTCACTGTTTCTGAAACTAAGAAGAACATTCTTAAACCAATCATGTTTTTTGGAGAGACAAAAACTAGTAATCTTTTTTTTTTCTTTTGTATTCAAGTGAATATTTTTAAACAAAGCAAAAGCGCAGTCCGAAGTCTTAGAATCTGGTCCTGCTAATACTGGTGTCTCTTCCATGTGATTTTAAAGAATTGAAGAAAGGTAATATCAACCAGCTCTACTCTCTGATATAAGAAAAATAAGGGTCAGAGAAGAGATTTTAGAAATAGCAACCTCATGAATGGCATCTAGATTGACTTGAAGCATTCTCAAACATCTTCCTCATATGCCTTTTATTATTGCAGAATAGACAGTTATGCCTCCTTAAAGAGTAGGTACAAGACTGGAGTCTTTATTTTCTAAGTATAAAAAGACAATTATGGAAAAACATGCTCTGCCTTATGATTTTTTTTTAGATGTGCAGAAGCATTAAGCATGCATGTGTGATTTTCTTGATAACTTTCTCAGAAGTTTACACAAGATCTAAGGAGAATGGAAAGAGAGAATTGTTCCTCCTTGACTGAATTCATTTTCTTGGGAATTACTGATAACACTGAGAATAAAGTGATCCCATTTACAATGTTTCTCCTTGTTTATCTCATCAACCTTCTGGCAAATCTTGGAATGATAACCCTGATTAGGATGGATCCCCAGCTGCACACACCCATGTACTTTTTCCTCAGCCACCTCTCCTTCTGTGACCTCTGCTATTCCACAGCCATCGGCCCTAAGATGCTGGTGGACCTATTTGCCAAGATCAAATCAATCCCCTTCTATGGCTGTGCTCTGCAGTTCTTGGTCTTCTGTATCTTTGCCGATTCTGAGTGTCTCCTGCTGGCAGTGATGGCCTATGACCGGTACAAGGCCGTCAGCAGCCCCTTGCTCTATGCGGTCAGTATGTCCAGCAGGCTGTGCTCCCTGCTCATGGCAGGGGTTTACCTGGTGGGAATGGCGGATGCTTTGATACACACGACATTAGCTTTCCGCTTATGCTTCTGTGGGTCAAATGTGATTAACCATTTCTTCTGTGATTTACCTCCACTTTTCCTCCTTTCCTGCTCTGATATACAGGTCAATGAGTTGGTGGTGTTTATTGTTTTTGGTTTCATTGAAATGAGTACAATTTCAGGAGTTCTTGTCTCTTATTGTTATATCATCCTTTCAGTCTTGAAAATCCACTCTGCTGAGGGGAGGTTCAAAGCTTTCTCCACCTGTACCTCCCACCTAACTGCTGTGGCAATTTTCCAGGGAACTCTTCTCTTTATGTATTTCAGGCCGAGTTCTTCGTACTCTCTAGATGAAGACAAAATGACCTCATTGTTTTACACTCTTGTGATTCCCATGTTAAATCCTCTGATTTACAGCCTAAGGAACAAAGATGTAAAACAGGCCCTGGAAAAATTGAAAAATAAATGGTTTTAGTTATTTGTATTA